TTGTTTTATTTGTTTTAACTGTGCATTTATGTGTCGTTTGTGCCCCCGTAAATCTGTGTTTCTTCTATTTTAGTACTATGACCCTGAACTTTACCCCACCATGAAGGAGCAGAAGAACTTTGAGAGCAACGTCTTCAGCAAAACCCACAAAGCAGACAGTGAGTTTCTTCTCTTGTAAGCTGGGTACCTCCCACCCTCATGGCCCTCGCTCTCCGCAGGCCGAGCGCTCTCACATATCCTCATTTTGAATTCTTCTGTCTGTAACCTAAAGCGCTTTTTCCATGGAGCTTGTCTCCTCTATAATAAACCCTGATAAGTGGACACTGTTGGGAGAGAGTATAAAAAAACGTAGCTGTTATGACTTTGGGAGAGTTTCAGCAGTTTGACAACGATGTTCACAGAAACCTGATCCCCGTCTCTCTACTGGGGTTTTACAGGATTGATACCTGAGCTCCCAGTACGCCATCCTTTGTTCCTAACTCCACCTCTTGTCCTCATTTCCTGCAGCCCTTTTTTGCCCCCTCTGTTTGCTGCTCTGTCCTCCTTTCCCTTAGTCCACCTCTTTTCTCGTCTCCTCTCCCATTTCATCCTCCCATCAGCTCTCCTTCTGTGTATCAAGTTTCCGAACTGATGAATAAAGTCACGGATCACGCAAACTTCTCTTTTTCTCTCTGTAGATGAAATAGCGTTCCTGGAGGGGATGACCATCGTCTATAAGAGCAGCATAGATCTTTTTTTCTACGTGGTGGGAAGTGCTCAGGAAAATGAGGTACGGTGGTTTTTAGCTGTTATCCTTAAAACAGCCGTCCAGATATTTTTTAGAGAAAAGCTTCCAGTTCTGCTCTGACATTTATATCCAGTCATCATCAGCCTGACTGTCATATTAGGGGGGTTATTTGAAAATGAATGCATAGCATATAACATAGTTGGACGTTTCTTTCCAGGATTTTCCATGCTTTTTTCCAATTGAGTTTATTCCTTTAGCACAGATTCACAACCCATCATCTCAAGGCTCTTTCCAGTTCACCAGATCATCCAGTAAGATTGATTGGCGGCCCCTGTAAAAGGCGGCCCCGTCCAGGAAACATACCAGGCAGAGAAGCTCAGATCAAAACATCCATGTAAGAGGATGAAGAGAGCACATCCAACCATTTGCAGCCGGAATAAATAATTTCTTCTGGAAGAAACTTGGGAGGTCAAATTTACAGAAGAGTGTTTCTTTTGGTGAATATTTTTGCCTTAAAGGTATACTATGCAACATTTTTCATTTAATTAATGTGTTCCATAACGTTTTGGATGATTAAATG